ATTCTGGCTCAGCCTGTAATCCCAGCACTTTGGGAAGCCGAGGTGAGTGGATTGCCTGAGCCCGCAGGTTCGAGACCTGCCTGGGCAACTTGGCGAGACCTCATCTCTACAATAAATAAAAAATTAGCCGGGTGTGGTAGCGCGCGCCTGTAGTTCCAGCTACTTGGAAGCCTGAGGCGGAAGGATCACCAGAGCCCAGCAGGTTGAGGCTGCAGTGACCGGGAGCAGCCACTGCACTCCAGTCTAGGTGACAGTGTGAGACTCCAACTCAAAAAAATAAATAAATAAATAAAAAATAAAAATGCATGGACACTCTTAGTCTTTTTACTTTGCTTTCCTATTTACACAGAGGCAAAATTACACTCCTTTTACCCTGTTATTTTATTTGCCAAGTCAGAATTCCTCAATCAAGACTGAGTTGTGAATATTTTTCCTTCCTGACAGGGTGAATCAGTGAAGTATTTCCTGGATAACTTGGACCGGATCGGTCAGCTGGTAAGTAAACACCCCGCTCTGAGAATCTCTGATCCAGGATTAGAAAACATTTGTGTTGGGACCAAAGCAATCCAAGTAGTAAGGGCTTTGGCTGCACTTACAGGCCATACTTGTTATGTTAGATTGCCATGAATGGTATTGTAATGTCATGTTCGCACTCAGATCTGGATTTTATCTAGGATGGAAGGGAAGAAATTGCTCTGTTAAGGATGCCTTTGCCCAGATTACCGCAAAGGAAACAGAGGAGTTCTTCAGTGAAAGGAGATTTCCTTTAACTTTCTCTTATGAAAGATTCAAACATATAGAAAAATAAATAATATAAGCAGAAGATCCCAGATGCAGCAGTTATCACCCATGACCAATCTTGTTTCATCAACCCTACCCCCACCTCCAAGGAACAAATCTATCATCATATCAGCTCATCAATAATATTTTACGGTGTATTTCTAAAAGATAAGACTCTAAAAATCAGAACCACAATACTATATTGCTCCTAAAAAATTAGCAATAACGTCATAATGCCAACCAATATCCAGTCAGTTTTGAGATTTTCCCAGTTGTCTCATTGATATTTTCTTGGTGGTGTTGCTTTATTTTAGCCATTTAAATCAATATCCTAATAAGATCTATGCATTGCAATTGGTTGATGTCACTTAAATTTTTCTTAATCTGTAGGTTTCTCCTGCTGTCTTTTTTTCTTTCGATTTATTTATTGGAGTAACAGGATTATTTATTTTGTAGGATTTTTTTACAGTCTGGACTTTGCTATTCTACTCCTGTAGTTTTACTGAAGATGTTTCTCTGTCTCCTACACACTCTGTGGATGGTATTTAGGCCTCTAGACTGAGGAGGGGCTTGATCATATCCTGTTTGATTTTTGGCAAACTTGCTGCCTGAGTGGTATGTACACTAGTCACTGGAGGATTTTTAACTAAAAAATCAGAATGATTTAAGAGCGACTACACTTGCCCGTGTTGCTAAAGACTTTAAGAACTTTCCAAGAATAACATAATATCAAGTATATTGCAGACTGTGCCAGGCACAGTGGCTCATGCCTATAATCCCAGCACTTTGGGAGGCTGAGGTAAGAGGATTGCCTGAGCCCGCGGGTTCAAGACCAACCTGGGCAACTTGGCGAGACCTCATCTCTACAATAAATCAAGAAAAATTAGCCAGGCGTGATGGTGCATGCCTGTGGTTCCAGCTACCTGGAAGGCTGAGGCGGATGGATTGCCTGATCCCAGCAGGTCAAGACTGTGGTGGCTGTGAGTTTGCCACTGCTCTCCAGCCTGGGCGACAGAGTAAGACTCCAACTCAAAAAAAAAAAAAAAAATATATGTGTGTGTGTGTGTGTGTGTGTGTGTGTGTGTGTGTGTATGTATATATATATATATAGCAGATATATTGCAGACCAAATCTAAATAGCACTGCAAAACCTAAATTAAATGAGTTTGTATTGTGACTTTGGAATATATATGCTCTGGGAGTTAGAAAGATAAAAAGGTATCATGGTATGGAAACAAAAGATGGTAAATTTCCCCTGGAGAAAAAAATTGATGAGATTTTTACAGTAGGGCCTGACAGGGAACATCCTGATCATTTCTCACACCGATAAACCTCTGTTCACTTGGAAATGAAGTATTTATTCTTTCACTTTCTGCTTTATGGTATGTTTATAAAGGTATAAATAAAATTTGCTTTTGGTATTTGGTTCAACTTCTTGCAAAAGTTGGTCTAACCTCTCCCTCCCCTCTTTTTGCCATCATTTTGTTCTCATTTTCTTGGGTTCTTTCCTTCCCTCCTAAATTTCTGCTTTATTCTATATTTCACAGAATTACTTTCCTAGTAAGCAAGACATCCTGCTGGCTAGGAAAGCCACCAAGGGAATTGTGGAACATGACTTCGTTATTAAAAAAATCCCCTTCAAGATGGTGGATGTGGGCGGCCAGCGGTCCCAGCGCCAGAAGTGGTTCCAGTGCTTCGACGGGATCACGTCCATCCTGTTCATGGTCTCCTCCAGTGAGTACGACCAGGTCCTCATGGAGGACAGGCGCACCAACCGGCTGGTGGAGTCCATGAACATCTTCGAGACCATAGTCAACAACAAGCTCTTCTTCAACGTCTCCATCATTCTGTTCCTCAACAAGATGGACCTCCTGGTGGAGAAGGTGAAGACTGTCAGCATCAAGAAGCACTTCCCAGATTTCAGGGGTGACCCGCATAGGCTGGAAGATGTCCAGCGCTACCTGGTCCAGTGTTTCGATAGAAAGAGGCGAAACCGCAGCAAGCCGCTGTTCCACCACTTCACGACCGCTATAGACACCGAGAACATCCGCTTTGTGTTCCATGCTGTGAAGGACACCATCCTGCAGGAGAACCTGAAAGATATCATGTTGCAGTGAGAGAAAGAGCCTCCTGTCTGTGGTCCCATGACTCTTGGTCAGATCGCTCTGGTGTGTAGTCTCTGAATGGTCCTTGAGTGGGTTTCTCGGATCCAGGCCATCAAATGCCTGGCTCAAGAATGCTGCAAAACCAGCCCAGCCAGTGAGCTCTAGGCTAAATGACGTGGAAACTTTGATGTAGCTACTGAATCCTGGGGACGAGTGAAACTACTGAAAATCCAAGTGATCACTTTGGTATTAATGTGGAATGCCTAATAACACAGCTTTCTTTTTACAGAAACATTACCTTTTTCTGACACAATTTAATTGAGGATTGTGTGTGTGTGTGTGTGTGTGTGTGTGTGTGCGTGCGCACACGCACACACACGCACACTCTCTCTTCAGTGACAAAAACATAAAAACCAGCTGGCCTTGCAGATGGCTTTTCTCTCTAACTTGCGAGTCTCACTGAGACAGACCCACCTGGAAACTTTGCCTAACAGTAGTTAGTAGAGATGCTGCTACACTAGAGTGCCCAGGCCCGGCCCTGCCACCACAGCCGCAGCATCTGGATGCCACCTCCAAAGCAAACACATTGCCTTTTAAAACTCTTGTGCCAATCTCTTCCGAGACCCTAGTCCAGGCCTATTATATTAGATTAAGCCAATGAACTGTGCCAAGGACCCCTCCCAGCTCTGAGGGTAAACAGGAAGTTCTGCAGGTGTAGACTCACCTGGGTGCCCCTACAGCAGGCCCAGCTCATCCCATCCTGCCAAATTGCCTGGCCGCACCGCACAGGGTAGAGCTGGGACGCTGACACTGTCGATGACTGTTGTTTGGTCCGTATGCCTACCCCCGCCACTTGATGGCAAAGACATATAAACCAAGTAGCCTTGCAGATGACTTCTCCATCTTCCCAGCAAGTCATCCTCTGACCTGCAGTTGCCAGCAAGTAGCGTTTCCTCCTTTTGGAAGTAGTCAAGAGCTCCACATTCCTCTTCAGGGGCTTCTAGAAGCCGACAAGACTACTAGCAGAGCCTTGGTTAAAGCCACAGCTGCTCGGCACGTTCCTAACAGCTGCCCTTTCAATAAGCCCACAAACTCTGGAGAGGTCTTCTCCAAACTGCCACTACACCAGTGCCTTGGGACTACCGGTCCCTGTTCTCAGCACTCCATGAGTTGGACTCTTATCCAGGTCTCTTGCTTCTAGTACTGTACACGCAGGACAAGTAAACACCATCTGATGTAGCTCTGCTGGGGGATCTGCAGAAGGCTGTGAATGTTGACCTGAACTGGTAAATCCCACTCTTGGTAAACTCGCCCGGTGATCTGCCAGGTGGCTTTCACTGTGTGTTAAAAATACATTGCATTCCAGACTGGTCCCCTCCGTGTGTCACTCTACTGAAAAAGTCTGTCTAGTGTGTTTGGGACTGTTCCTAGCATTGAAAAAAAAAAGGAAAAACCTCCTCTTAACTGGCATCTGAATGTCACTGTGGCCCAGGGCCCTGGTCCTGAGGCCACACTGTCTCCGACCTGTCACTTCTGTGTCTCCCTCTTGGCTTATCTCCAGCAAGCCAGATAAACATGAACCTTGTGGCAGGTGCTGAACCAGAAGAGGGAGGGAAAAAACCTGCTTCTGAGTCGTCCTTGTTATCAAGACATTTTGGTTCGACAACATGAAATTCTGTTTCTCTTTTGGTGTTCAAGGGCTTGTGTCAATGTTTGCTGGCTTTTGGGCTGGGGGAAGAAAAGTTGCTGTTTTTGCACTGCTTCCTGTGGCTGTCTACAAACTGAAAGGATATGACCCAAGATCAGTGCTGACGACCATTTTTATTATTTTTTATTTTTTTATTTTTATTTTTTTTTGAGTTGGAGTCTCACTCTGTTACCCAGACTGGAGTGCAGTGGCCGCTCCCGGCCACCGCAGCCTCGACCTGCTGGGCTCCGGCGATCCTTCCACCTCAGCCTTCCAAGTAGCTGGAATTACAGGCGTGCACTACCACGCCCGGCTGATTTTTTTGATTTATTGTAGAGATAAGGTCTCACTGCCCAGGCGGGTCTCGAACCCACGGGCTCAGGCAATCCACTCACCTCAGCCTCCCAAAGATGCAGGATTACAGGCTGAGCCACTGAGCCCGGCTTCTGACGACCATTTTTAAAGGAGGAAGAATATTCTCAGTGGGCCCGTCAGAACAGATCATGTGTTCAGTTTTCAGTAATGAAGTGTGGGCTGGTCCACAGCGTGATAACCTCTGCCTGCCCGGGCTCATTTTCCACATAGCATAGGTCAGGATCCAGAGCCCAGAGAAAGTGCATGTGGCTCCCCCACCAACCTGGAGATGCTCTTCAAGGCACTACTGGGGCTTGCCGCCACCGCCACCGCCACTGCCACTGTGACCGGTGTAATGGGATTGTTTGAAGCACCTTACCGAAGGGGGTAGGTTGGCCTTGTCAATGAGTGCTTTTTTTCTTTAGACAGTCTGACAGATTTACTAGTCACTTTCAAGCCCGGAAGTATGAGAGCAAGCAGATGTGGGGAGTAAGCAGATATCGTGACTTCTGCTTAACAGAACAGAAAGCAAGATAGACGGCCAAAGGCCCAGGTCCTTGACCAGCTTAGCCCTGACCCCACTGCTCTTGGCTTTGCTGAACCTGGGCTTCCTCCTCTTTCCAGTGACCTGGGTAATTTCGAAGTCTTTAAACAGGCCCTGCTCTAAATTCTGTGATGTAGCATAATTGGAGACAGTTGTTACAATTTGCAAGACTAAACTGTAATCCTTTACAACTTTTCTCCACATAGGTTGTAGTCATTTTTGTCTCCAAAACCTTAGGCTTTTGTATTTTTTTATTTTAATTTCACTGTTAGTTCTTATTGTCTTTTTTACTGAGATATTGGAGAAGCAGGAGGTAGTTGTGCCTCATCTATTATTGCAAAAATGTAACAAACTTCCTCAGAATAAGATAATCTCATAGTTATACTGTTTACACATAAGAACACATGTAGGTTTTTTACTGACATATATTTTTAACTCCTCTGTTTGTAGAGAAATTATTTCAGAGATTTTGAGTCATAGCTCTATAATTTATAGAGATCTCTAGAATTCTTGTAATTTTTCTACTTCTTTGATAAAAGAAAAATGAGTCAGATGATTTTAACTCCAAGATCAAAATATAATCTTGAAACAGGATTATTAGGTATGACTAATGTGAGGGTCCTGGGAACAGACATGTTTAAAATTAACTTGGTTGTAAGGTCCAGGTTCCAGTTGGAACGACAGTGGTCCCGGTCAGTTGCTCGTGGCTTACGCTCTGCACATGGTGTTAGCATAGACTGGGAGGGCCTGGCTTGAAGGTTTGACCACCTTCAGTCTCTGGATGCATATTAAAATCATTTTCTAGTTTTTCTTGGCTTAATACTAAATATCACTAGGCATTCAAAACCAGCACTACACTAATTTTTCAGTCCCCAAAATTCAAAGGAAATAACTCTAATTCTAATTTTATTTTAAAGTGGTTCATCATTTGTTGATCACAGTCTTTATTTCCACATACCAAATAAAGCCTGGCATGTAGGAGAACCGTCCTAAGTAGTGTTTTGAATCAGGCCTCTGGAGCACACCTTCACAGCGTGGAGTGGCAGCATACACAGAAACATGTGCACACGTGAGAGAGAGAAGCCCTGCCATCTAAGTTCAGAGAGCCCTGAGGGGAAGGACCTTGATGTGGCCCAGAGACCTGAGCTCAGCGGAGCCCATGGGACGCTGGAGTGGAGCCCCTGGGGTTATCATGCCTGCCAGAAAGCGAAGGGACCACTCACACGAAGCAGGATGCCGTCCAGTCCTGGGCATGGTGAGTTATCAGGGCTCTTTCATGCTCGGGATCTGCTGTAGCTGGCTCTTCCGCATGGCTAGGCATCTCTTCTCTTCCCAAGCAAGCAGGTTTCTAGAAAGAGGAATGGGGGTGCTGTTAGGTGACATGGCCTATGTGACCAGTGGGGGCTTGAGCTGACCGTGTTGGGAAGGGCAGAGACCTCTCCGAAGAAATGCCGACTGTGAGCACACTGTGTGCTCTTGACTCCACGTGGCTGTGGCTGAGCTCTTTGAGTTTTAATTTCTGCATTTGGCAAAGTTGAACAGCAGAGTGATGCTCAGCTCTGGGGCCATAGTCGGGTCACCCAGGCCCCACAGTGAGCTGCCAGGACCTGGCGGGTATGAGTGTCCTTTGTGTAGATTTCTAATGCTGCAGGTGATTTGACATCCACAGCCAGGTTGAGAGGCACTAAAGTAGGCCATCTTGCAGGCTTATGTGTTGAGCTTGGTGAGAATTGTATTTCACCATGTCATGGACCACCACGTCTTCCTGCTCTGTGACCAGCAACCTGCTTGGAGAAGAAATGCAGGGATAGTGAGTTTTCTTTTGCAGTTTAGGTGAAGAGAGGGAGACCTTGCGAAAACACCTTTCACAATGTGTGTGCAACCCTTTCAGCTATTTTGGTATCATTTATCTGTAAGGGACATGAGATGGGCTTAGCAGCCTCGTTCTAAAATGATTCCAGGAAATTTAGGAAGCTTTGCTTTGAAAAAGACAGAGGATTTTAAAGTCTTATTTCATTTGCACAGCAGCCCCAAAGAGAGGTGATGCTTAAATATGTGTGCTTTGTGTTTCCTTGACGCCATGGCACTAAGGGGAACTGGCCCCGGTCTGGGAGTCGCCAGTGGGTCTGCCTATACACCGAAGGCACCAGGGGAGGGGGATCAATGTAGTGTGAACTGGAATGGGTGGTCTCCTGATTTGGCCTCTCAACCTCGGGCTCCTTCTGTGAGGCATTGTCGCCTTGAAGACAAAGTTGTTAGGTTCCTGGAGAAAGGAGTTAGAACCACCTTGTGACAGGGCCTCGGCAGATGACAGGCTAGTGTATGCTTGTGTCCAGGGAAGGGTACAGTCTGCAGCTTGGGTGGTAACCACAGGTGCAGTGCAGCCCGTGAGGTGTGACGGGCCGATCCTGCCTCCAGACCCCTCATTCAGGGTTGGTCTTGCCCGTTCTCCTGAGGAAAGTCTTCAGATTGCAGGACCTCCTCTTATGGCTCCTCTTTTGCTGCTGTTTCTCCTTCCAGAACTTGAAGGCTGGTTATTCTTTGGTGTTCAGGATGGCACATCAAAATAGGCAAATTTGATTTCCAGATGGCAGCCCTGGCATCTTTTCATGTGAAAACTGTTCAAACCACAAATAGGTTACTAAGTGTCTGAACCTCCCTTGCACCCCCCACCCACACACACACGTATGCACTGCTGTCTGACCCTGCACA